TTTTTTTTTTTTTTTTCTTGTCACTATTTGCTATTACTTCTAGTCATGTTGGACTGGTCATTTGAATTCATTTGATCTTTATATTTTTCTGATGAAAGATTAAATAAAAATTAACTGCAGTTGAAATGCCAGTCTGAAGAGGTTTCAACTCAAAAGTCCAAAATTCTTCCAGACCTTGCTTTGGCTGTTACCCCATTTTCATTAGAAGAGGTATGGAATTGAAGTAAAATTCTCCGACTTCCATTTCAATTTTTTGATATGATTGCTTTCTTAATGCCAATAAATTTTGTAAACAATGCAGGCCCATACATCCAATTCAGAATGTTGTTCGACTGTGGAGCCTAATGAAAATGTAAATATTGAAGAACCCGAATATCAGTCTAAGTCCAAGTTGCAAGACACATTGTTGTCAAATGGTCCAAATGATATGCTCAAAACGGTACTTTAACTTTTTTTCATGTCTAACTAGATATGCTTTAGTTAAATGACAATGCAGCTTTTCTAAGAGCACATCTTCCCTTTTTTATTGTTCACATGTCTCAATGAAATATCGTTTCTTTTTATTTATATTCGTCAGAACTCTTCTCCTCAAGGTGGAGCTACTCAGGCCGGGACTAATCTGAATTCAGGAACAAAGACAATGGAAGCAGGTGGGGAGAATTGATGATTATTGTCCCTTATATTACTTGCTAATAATACGTGTTGATTATTCTTTTCTTCCTGCAATATAGATATCATCACGTGTGAAGGTGGCAACTCGTCACGCAAGAAAGATGATGGGTCCCCACCACTCAGCGAAAGAATTAAGGAAATATCTAACAATCTAAAATCTTTATGCGCATCATCAACACCATTGATGGTCAATACACAAGAGAGTGTGATTGCACCCCACAACAATCAAGCCGTTCACTTCGAGATTATGGAACCAAAAACTCCTGCTATGAAACATTGCATTGCAAGATTAGGCAGTCCCCAAGGCACTTTTAGTAACCGAAGTTCGGGCATGAAGGTCTGTGATGTATATTGGGCTGTATATCTTTGTATTTGTTCAAATAATGCTGTTTTACTGAGACTGTGCTCTTTTTTTTTTTTTTTTTTT